TAATAATTAATATAATAATATAATTAATGGGTTTGTAAATTATGGTTTTCTTTTGTGTGCAATAATTTTTGGGGAAATTTTGTGTACATTTGGAAGAAATTTTGGGTCCTGAAAATATTTTGCACACCTTTTCATAAGTTGCACTGTACCACACTATTTCTTGCTTCCTGCATATGGGTACACTTAGTCAACCATAGTGCGAGAAAAAAAGTCAACAAGGCAGCCAAGGAGACAATTCCCTGACCTTTCCTGATTTTCCAGGTACAGAAGAATGTATGTTTCTGTATGTTTCAGATTCCAGAATGTTTTAAATATGTTGTTTTATGTTACTGCTATAACAGACTTAATTTTTTGATATTAAAGTTGGTTACAAAAATTCTCATCATCAATCCCTCAAAAGTTATAACTTTTAATTCATACAAAATAAATATGGTAAGAAATATTTTATAAATGTTAAATTCTAACAGTCAGTTGTAGCCTCATGTAAAATTTTCCGTTTTATGTTTTTTCCCAATTCATGTGATGATGGGTGGTTCCCACAGTTTGAGTTCTTGCTATTCATGAGATTTTCCTTGATCATAGTCTTAAAAATTTTCCAAGCTTCTAGTGTTCTGAGTTTTGCTTCCTCCCAGTTGACTGATACACCAGGATCATTTGTGTATTGGGCTAGCACTATAGATAGTTTGTTGTGCTTAGTTCTCAGCTTGCTCTTGAATTTCATTGATGTAAACCTAAAGCATGCCCTACGAAAACATTTGCTTAGAGTATAATTCAATACACAAGAATAAATGTTATACAGTTGGAAAAGTGTGCAAGGTTGTTTTAAGTCATTTTTTACAAAGTATTTAAAATTTTAAAAACTTTTTACAAATAAGTTTTTAATCGTTACATTTTAAATTTATGAAATTTAACAACAATTATTCCTTTTTTAGCAGAAATTCTTATATACAATAAATTAGACTATTGTAGTCATTTATAGTGTACTGTGATCAATTTATATTATATATGCAAATTATATTGTATAAAAATGTATAAATTGCAAATTTATTACAGTAAAGCACGTGAAAGCCAGAAGTGTAAGGTATGCTGTAAATTAATAACCACTTAGATCATACTTAGATTGCTGGAAGTTATCATTGTACAGAACATAAATATGGCACTGTATGCATGATACATAGATAACATGTTAATAATATGGAGAAAACCCAACATCCAACACTTCATTAAGAATATTAATTCAAACCTGTATGGCTTAAAAGTAGAATTAGAACAAGAAAATGCTGAGGATGCACATTTCCTGGACATCTTAATCATGCTGAAAGAATGGGCTATCACCATATATTTACAGGAAACCAACATATAATCTGCTGTTTGTGTCATGGGAGGCCCATGGTATAATCAGCTACAAGCTAGTAACATTTAGAGCTATAATCAAAAGAACCCACATGCACTGTAAGAATGTGCAAGAAAGAATATGAGAGCTAGAATACATTAGAGCACTTAGAAGGCAATTTAGAGTCAGATATACAACCTTAGAAACTATGATCAACAAGTGCAAGTGCTAAACGGGCACAAAGGATGAAAAAGCAGACAGGGTTCACAATGGTGGAATATATGGCATCCCACTGTAACATAAACAAAAAAATAGGAAAAACTACAAAGAATAGAATTATTTTTAAAAGGAATTCCACCATACACAGGCTGCTGAATAACAACGAAGAGAATATCAACCCAACATACCTGGAGTATACAAAGTACTGGTAAAAGATAGCAGGATTCAGCAAGACTTGTGCTATGTTGGTACTACTAGAAAATTGTTAAAGTAAGGATAAAAGAGCATAAAGTCAACATTCGGAAAGAACTCCTGGCTATTGTCTTAGCTGCTTATGTGATTTCAGATCCAAGTTCAGTATCACTTGAATGGAGCCAAGCAAAAATAATTCAAGTTATGAGCAGGGAGCATCAAGAAGTTATGAGCAGGGAGCATTTCAATACACAGAAGCATGGCACATTCATAAAGCAACCTCAAGTGGACAAGCAAACAATTACAGAGAAGGCAATATATTTTCTTGGAAGGCGTTATTAGATATGACCTCTAAATGATGAACTGAGAAGTTAAGTGCTTACAAATGGATTACTACACTTTATTGTGCATATTATTGCTTAAATCCATTTGCTGGTAGTTCCTACGTAGCTTTTACAATACTCATACTGTAAGCTGTGGATTTATTGTTATTTTATGAGTTATTTTAATTTATATTTACTGTCATATTCTTGTTTTACTATGTTTATATATGTAGGGTGAGTTTTTTATCTTGAGACAATGAAAAAACTTAATTGGATCTCATTATTCTGGAAAAAAGTTTAGACAAAAGTTGTAGGGTTTTGAAGGAGCAATCAATTGGTGACCTTGGATGTGACCTTGACCTTCAAGGTCATTTAAAGGTCAAGTCTGTTTTTTTCAAGTGGGAATACATATTTTTGACCCTGGCAATGGAAAGAGCAGGAAATTTCACAATAGGATATACCCTTGACCTTAAGGTCTAGGTCAAAGGTCAAGATTATTTTAAGGTTAAAATTAAAAGCTTTTTCTAATGGAAAACCATACTTTTTATTACTAGAATAAACAGGGAGGTAAAATTACATTTTTTTCATGACCTTATTACTTTGACCTTTAAACACATTCACTACTTTTAGCACTACCCAGGAGTAACGATGTGGACGTAGTAGTTTTCTCCACCTTTTGAGGTGATTATTTTCAGTGAGTCCCTTGGCCTCTCACTATTGGGGTGCTTGTTTTCAATGTGTCACTTTACTTCTCACCATTGCTTGAGATATTGGTTTTGGGAAAAATCTTTATAATAAATGTTCAAAATGATGCCCTTCCACTTTGATGCATTTGTTGAGCCATGCTTAAAATTATCAAGCTTGAGATTACCTTCAGAGGTCAAATTCGGAGTACTCAAGGTCATAGCTGATTGTGAAATTTTCTGCTCTTTCTATGTAAATGTAAATTTTACCTCCCTGTCTATTCCAGTAATAAAAAGTATGGTTTCCCATTAGAAAAAGCTTTTAATTTTAACCTTAAAATAATCTTGACCATTGACCTAGACCTAGTCAAGGGTATATCCGATTGTGAAATTTCCTGCTCTTTCCATTGCCAGGGTCAAAAATATATATATTCCCACTTGAAAAAACAGACTTGACCTTTAAATGACCTTGAAGGTCAAGGTCACATCCGAGGTCATCAATTGATTGCTCCTTCAAAACCCTACAACTTTTGTCTAAACTTTTTTCCAGAATAATGAGATCCAATTAAGTTATTTCATTTTCTCAAGATAAAAAAATACCATGTATATATTTAATGTTAAAAGCAGAAGTGCAGCACACACATTTACAAGCTTTTTGATGTTCTAAAAACATTAATATTCAAATTAACAGTGGCGTGTGATGACATTTGATAAGGAAGCTGTGTTTTCATAAAAATTTTAAACAAATACTGAAATGACAAAAATAAACAGTTTATTTATTTTATTTCTAAAATAGATAATTGACATTAAAGGAAGATATAAAAACTTGTTTTTATTATTTTTTCTAAACTAACTCTATTCGGAAATATTTTTCTGCAAAGTTGTTAATTACTTTATCATAAAAATCGGTTGTCGTTGATTCCATCAAAGTATGTAAAAGCTCTTTTTCTATTGAAAGCAACACTAGTGACGAAAATATTTCCTCTGACTGAGTATTCCTTGAAAATGTATCAATTTGCTTTATGGGTGAAAAATGCACTCAACAGAAGCATTTGTAGATGGTACCATAAAAATTAATGATATTAAATCATATAATAATTTTAGTACATCTTTGTTCAGATTGTCATAAATTATAATAATTTTTATATCTAAGAGTGACTTGCCAATTTAATCTGGACATGAATATAAATATCGCAATTCAATTTGTAATTTAGATAAATCAAAAAATTTTCCATAAAATTTACTTAAAGAATTAAAACTCACTTTGGAAAATTTTTTTCATAATATTTAAAATTATTAACATGTAAAATTGATAAAAGTTCTAAAGATTTTGTCTGAAAATCTATCAATATAATTATAATTACAAAAAATTATAATTAAATATAGTTTTGTAAAGAATCGTACATAAAAATAACATAACATATTTTTTACTTTTTAAATCTAATAACAATGCACTTAGTCATATAGCTTCCTATGAGTGGCTAATGGTTAGAATCATTGGAAGTGTTATATGACTTTTTGCTGTGTAGCATCCATGAGCTAAATCACAAGAAGTTGGTGCTCTGTAAAGTGCATAAGCAAATGCCTGTAATCTGGCTGCTTTACACAATTCAAATATTATCACCATGAAAGCTGTCCTATATTCGACAATACAGCACTTCCATTGGGAATATGCATATACGAACTTATATTCGAATATACAGTAGCAATCTTATTGTTTTTCACATGTGTAGGAATTTGTAATAAGATACATAATATGGTTATAATAAAATATTAATTTTAAGTAATTCAAAATACATTAAAATATAAAAAAATCACACAATATGTATTTATATTTTAGAAAATACAAGGAAAGCAGTGCTTCCACAGCTTCCATAAACAGCACACCACTGCAAATTAAGTAATTCTACAATACATTATAACTTTTTTTTGTTTGTTTTTAATTGTAAATTTCCTGAAGAAGGTAGACTAAGAAGATTGAAAATGTTAGCAAAATAAACTTTTACTGCACTGTAAAGGTAGTTGTACTGCAGTATGCTGTATAACTTCCAACTTAAGTAAGGCTTTTCCATCTTAGACAGTCTTTTTCAACTTTTACCCAAAGTTGAAAATAAAAGAAAAATGGTTTGAATTCATGAAATGATGAATCAAATAAAATTATATATGATGAATCAAAGAAAATTTTACAATTCCTGAAAAAACCTGAGTTTTCTAATTATTTCCTGAACTGAACAAAAATCATTGAAGAAAGGGTACAGAAGCTCAGAATGCTTATTTTGTGATAAAATATAAGAAAATTTATTTAAAATAAAAAGTTTTGATTTGAAAGTTGCAGAAAAAATTTATCCTTTAACCAAATCATGAAGATTTGATCATAATCATCAAAATTATTTTAATCCTTGATAATAGCTTAGAAAAATTTTGAACATATACTCCAGAATCTTTATAAAAAAGAAAGCTTTCTTCTAAATTTCAATACTTACCTCAGAAGAAATAGTGTTTACTACTTGTTGATGATGCTTTTTTGAAATTCCAGTAACTATTAAATTTCTTAAATTTCTAAGCATTGCCATGTATGGTAATTTCTTTTGATCTATTATAAAATAAATGAAACTTAATGATTAAAAGAATTTCTTATTTAAAATTTTATAATAAATAAATGCAATGTACACCTAATAAATTTTGCCATACAGAAGCTTTGTTTCCTTTGGTAGACAATTTTGTTTCCCAAGTTTCAGGGACTGGTAATTTCATTCTTTTTCCTGCCTTAGTTTCATCCCAAATTCCAGGAAGATTGCACTTATTAAAAGATTCCAAATCAGAAGGATATCTGTCAAATGTAATTTAATATATAAAAATAAAAATTTATAGTCAGATAATAAATTTTTAAAGTTATAAACTTAAATATAAATTTGTGATTAATATGACAAAATTTAAATACAATAAATACTTAATAAGCATTATTCTTTATCTAATTGCTTATTGCACATCTAGTAAAATCTAGCAGACTCAAATAACACACCATTAAACTTACACTCGCATCATACAGACATGACACAACACATAAAAAGCATCGACACCATCAAGCAAACATGGGCTCAAAAGGCACTCCATGGCAGGCATCCTTATGACCTCGCCCAGGATTTTGTTGACAAAACTGCATCAAACAGCTGGTTAGATCAGGGATGCCTCTTTGGGGAGACAGAAGGATTCATGATTGCCATACAGGATCAAGTCATAAATACTAAAAACTATAGAAAACACATACTCAAAGATACAACACTCACAAATGACACATGCAGAAAATGTCACATCATGCCAGAAACTATACAACACATCACTTCTGGTTGCAAGCTCTTGGCACAGACAGATTANCTTTGGCATAGCTGGGCCCGATGTTTCCTCTTGTCTCTAGAACTTTATCTATCTTTTCATGTAGGCTGTCCACTGCTACTTGCAGCGGATCAGTTGGCTTCTGCTTTAGAAGTTCAATAATTTGATCTATTTGACCACAAACAAAGGTAACATGTTCACCTGTACCAAGTCTGCAAGTATGATTCTCGTCATGTATCCTTTCACTGTTTCATGGATGCTTTCCGCTATCTTCACTCGTTCGTCTACCTCCATCACGTCCATTTCTCTTTGGGACAACACCTCGTCTCCCGACTTGGAGATGTGTGGCTTTTTGGCCATAGTCCTGATAAGGACTGTTTAAACATTTGCTAAAAATGCAGTAGTTGCTTCGTTTCACCCTTACAGATTACTTATGGGCAGGACCTCGTGAAGGTGCAACTCTGCTTCCCTGTGGAAATCTAAACAAAGCATTACAAAAGAGCTAGCTGAAGAGGAAGCAGGCCAATAAATGCTGAAAAAAGACAGTCAAATTGCTCATGAAAAACACACTACATAACAATGGGACACCCTGCCCGACTTTTCTACTGTAGTTCCATTATGGAAAACTTTTTTCTATATAAAATTTTAGGATTTTAGGGAGTGTGTACACACTCTCTGCACCCCTGGATTTGCCCAAGTAATTATATTAATATAACGTATGTATAGTTAATTTTCATTTAACAAATGCTGTAAATTTACCAAAACATTGAATATTTCTTATGATTTGACATTCTTTTGCAATTATATTTTTATAATATAAAATCTTGAATATAATTATGGACATTTTAAATATTAGTAATCTATAGTAATAAAAATTCAGAATTTTAGACAAACAAGCTGCAGTTTGGCCGCCATGGCTCATAATGTAATACTAAAACAGAAATATTAAAAATATGATTTGCATTTTCTAAAATGAAAAAGTTTTTCATAAATATATAACATCTACTGCACACCGGATTGTATAAAATAAATATGACATACTTGAACCTATAACCGATGTGAATCGAATAATCTATCCACGACGAACGTTTTCATAACCCCTTCTGGGCTCTTCTTCAGGTGAAACAGCTGGATCGAACACCAAAAACGAAATTTTTGGTGTTTGATCCAGCTGTTTCATAACCCCCAGAAGGGGTTATGAAAACGTTCGTCGTGGATAGATTATTCGATTCACATCGGTTATAGGTTCAAGTATGTCATATTTATTTTATACAATCCGGTGTGCAGTAGATGTTATATATTTATGAAAAACTTTTTCATTTTAGAAAATGCAAATCATATTTTTAATATTTCTGTTTTAGTATTACATTATGAGCCATGGCGGCCAAACTGCAGCTTGTTTGTCTAAAATTCTGAATTTTTATTACTATAGATTACTAATATTTAAATGTCCATAATTATATTCAAGATTTTATATTATAAAAATATAATTGCAAAAGAATGTCAAATCATAAGAAATATTCAATGTTTTGGTAAATTTACAGCATTTGTTAAATGAAAATTAACTATACATACGTTACATTAATATAATTACTTGGGCAAATCCAGGGGTGCAGAGGGTGTGTACACACTCCCTAAAATCCTAAAATTTTATATAGAAAAAAAGTTTTCCATAATGGAACTACAGTAGAAAAGTCGGGCAGGGTGTCCCATTGTTATGTAGTGTGTTTTTCATGAGCGATTTGACTGTCTTTTTTCAGCATTTATTGGCCTGCTACCTCTTCAGCTAGCTCTTTTGTAATGCTTTGTTTAGATTTCCACAGGGAAGCAGAGTTGCACCTTCACGAGGTCCTGCCCATAAGTAATCTGTAAGGGTGAAACAAAGCAACTACTGCATTTTTTAGCAAATGTTTAAACAGTCCTTATCAGGACTATGGCCAAAAAGCCACACATCTCCAAGTCGGGAGACGAGGTGTTGTCCCAAAGAGAAATGGACGTGATGGAGGTAGACGAACGAGTGAAGATAGCGGAAAGCATACATGACGAGAATCATACTTGCAGACTTGGTACAGGTGAACATGTTACCTTTGTTTGTGGTCAAATAGATCAAATTATTGAACTTCTAAAGCAGAAGCCAACTGATCCGCTGCAAGTAGCAGTGGACAGCCTACATGAAAAGATAGATAAAGTTCTAGAGACAAGAGGAAACATCGGGCCCAGCTATGCCAAAGTCACGGCACAGAAGACATTAAAACAAAGAAAGGAAATTCTCCTGGTGGAATCAAAGAAAGAAAATACAGATGTAGAGAAGACCAAAGAGAAGTTAAAAAAGCATATTAACCTCAAGCAAATGGGAATTGGGATACAAGCTGTCTGAAAACTGAAGAGAGGAGGAGTGGTGATCGAGGTGGGATCACCAGAGGAAAAGAACAAACTCAGAGAATAACTGAATCAAAAACAGGGTTGAAGACAAAGGAACCATTTAAAAGAAAGCCACGCATCGTCCTCTATGGAGTGGAGACAGATCTCTCCAAGGAGGAGATCCTCGAATGTCTGTATGAACAAAATGAAATATTCAACAGTACTACTACAGAAGCAGATTTCTGTAACCAAACAGAGGTAAGATTCCAATTCGGTAACAAAAACAAACAAACAACAAACTGGGTTATTCAAGTGAGCCCAGAAATTAGAAGACTAATACTGAAAGTAAAGAAAGTTAACCTGGGTTGGTCCAGGTGCAGGGCGGAGGACTATATCTCCGTTACCCAATGTTTCCAGTGCTGCTGCATTGGACATATTGCAAAAGATTGTCAAGAGAAAGGGCCCACCTGTAGCCAGTGAGGCCAAAGTCATAAGTATATGGATTGTACTCACAGGGAAAAAGCAGAATGTATTAATTGCAAGTGGGAAAAATTGAAAGACTTTAGTCATAATATCTGCTCAAAACTGTCCACTGATACAAAAAGTAAGAAACATGCTGATTGCAAAGACTGATTATGGGAACTAAACCCAATGAACGGATAGAAGACAGATTGTTAAAAATTGTATAAGTTAATGTGCAGAGATCAATCAGTGGTACATAAGCATTATGAAAGACACTTGAAAAAGTAGATATGGCTCTAATACAAGAACCATACTGCCAAAGAAGAGTACTGGCCTGCCTATGGACAACTTACAGAACACTATTCAACAAGGACTTTCGTCCATCTACCACTGCCATCATCAGAAACCCAGATGTCCCAGTGGTATTTCACACTGAGGAAAGCAACCAATTTCTAATCTGCCTTGAAGTAAGAAACAGCCTCAGAAACTATCTATTCATAACTGCCTACTGCCCGATAGCAAACGACCTGAATCAAGTACTACATCAAATGGATGAATTGATTAAATGTTTCCCACATAAGCATATCATTTGCGGGGACTAAAACGCACATTCGGAGTTGTGGGGAGACCCGAATAACGATGAAAGAGCAAACCAAATCTTAGAGTTTATAAATGCTAATGGCCTATATCTACTGAATCAGCCAGACTATGATGTTGAAGGCATTTAGGGGCAGATGCCAATTCCAGCAATACATTCCAAGCAAGCCATCAAAATATGAGATAAAAATTTTTGCCTTGACAGATTCAAGGACATTTTATAGTAGCAACTTAGAAGTATATGCGGGAGTGCAACTGCAGGGCCAATATTTTATAAGTAATTCTCCTAAAGATGTTGTGTTAAGATTATGTAAACCCGTAGCCGGCTCTGGAAGGAATATAACATTTGATAATTGGTTTACGAGTTACAAACTTGCATTAAAACTATTAGATATTAAGCTGACGTCACTTGGTACTTTAAAAAAAAAAAACAAAAGAGAAATACCGCCAGAGTTCATCAGTTCGAGAAACAGAACTGTATTCAGTAGCATCTTTGGATTCCAACAAAAGTGTAGTTTCATACTCTCCCAAAAAAAATAAAGTAACTCTCTTACTGTCAACTTTTCATCACAACAATAACATTGATTCTTCAATCCACAAAAAACAAACCTAAAATCATAACATTTTACAATCTTACAAGGGAGGTGTGGACGTTGTTGATAAAATGGCATCACGTTATAATTGCACAAGATATTGCCAACGCTGGCACCTTGTTATTTTTTATAGTTTGCTAAATATTTCGGCCATAAATTCCCATGTCATTTATTATCTAAACAATAAACTTCCACAAAACCAACACAGAAGACACTTCATGAAACTGCTATCAATTGAACTAATGACTCTGCAATTAAAATTACGTGCACAAAAAGAAAATTTACCCAGAAACATTAGGACAGCAGCCCTTAAATTCTCTAAGTTGCAACATGAAACATTGAAATCAGAATCAGCAACAACAGCATCAACAGGAAGATCATCAGCATCAACATCTGCAGCATCAACATCATGGAAGCGATCATCCTGTTCTGATTGCGGTTATAAAAAAGGCAGGAAGACGACAAATCAGTGTTTTTGATGTAATAAATACATTTGTGATG